GCATCACAGGGATGCCAGAAATCCCTTTAAAAACCCACTGTCTGTATCTTTACCCAGCCTCAAATCCAGCATCCAATCAGCCACCCCCCCCAACCCCAAAAGAAAAGCTGCTCAAGAATGGGTATTCAAGTTCATTGAGATTTCTAGTTAATTAGGATTTAATTAAAAACACTTCAACCCTGGACGCCAAAAACCTTTCCAGAAATTGTAGGTTTGCCTTCCTTCCCGGGGCTCAGGCTGGCCTGGAGGACGGTGCTGAGTATGTTCTAGACTCTGCTCCCTCTCTTTCCACTGTCTTCTCTCCCTGGGCACTCTTCCTGGCTCCTCCTCTCCCCTTCCGTTCTCCCAGCCTCCCCGCCCCCAGCCTCCTCCTGAACTCAGCCTTCCCAGTTCCCTCTCCTTTTCTGCCCCGGAAGTTCATCTCCAGCCCCAGAGTTGTTCTCAGGCAAATGAAGGCCTGTAGCCCTGAAGGTGAAGGCATCAAGCCCCACCCTGGTGTTCCCCAAATACCCTTGCTTCTTACCCTTTCCTGGACAAATTAAAGATATACAAATTGCATGAAAAAAGCGCACCTATGACAGCTTTAGGTGTTTCTTTAAAAAATGTTTTTAAGTGAAAGCATTTGACTAGAACCTACATCATTTAAAAATTCTGGGGATTTTAAAGGAAAACAGGAAAGAAACCTGAAAGCCTCCTTATAGTTTTCTTAAAATAAGCAACATTGGGCATTATTGGGACCAATAACCATATATACACAGAGAGAAAACGGGTCCTGGAGTTCAGCCAAACCCAAATATTTAAAAGTCATCAAGAATTCTTACTACATCAAAATACCTTTGGCCATAGTATGTAAGTGGTATGTTAAGGAATTTATTTTATTTCCAAATGCCTAGCAGAGAGTGGCTTGTTTTAGGTTATGTGGCTGTTACAAATACAGTAACTCTGTTCTGGAGATGTGATTACATGGGCAATATTCACAGATAACAGTCTGATGAAAGCAGCAGCAATCAATCTTGTCAACATACACGGTGATATTTTCCAAACATGGTTCAAAGACCGGGTCAACGGTTTCTCCTGTACCCCATTTTCCATGGCCACACCTAGAGATGAATGAATCTCTTCCACCAGAGCAAAGGAAAGGGGTGCTGAGACTAAGATGACAGTCAAAACCATGTTGATCTGATGCGTGCAGACATTCCAAGATTTGTCCACCAAAATCCTTTATAGGACCAGCCAACAAGACATGAATATACTCTTGCATTTTCACCTTCTCATGTGACCATCTCAATGGACAGAGAACAAGAAGGTCCAGCCTTCCCCTGGCCGGACCCTTCAGTTTCCCTGAGGCAAGGATTGGATACATGTTGTTTATTCCAAGAAGCACTGGAAGGGAGGAAGTGATCCGGGGAAAGGAACAAAAGGCAATAACGCTGTGTAATGAGTAGGTTACTGCCGTGGACAACCAGACCTCAGTCCTGCTGGGGGCACGTAGAGAGACTCAACAGAACTCACCTGTGAACTCTTGCTACAAGGGATGGGGCAGCTGGGGAACACATCCACCCACTCTCACCCCTCAGTGGCCGAGGGCTGCTCCTGGGGAGCTAACTGCCTCACTTCCAGCCTATGCCTCCAGCGGATCATGCACATCCCCACAGCCAGAGACACGCAGGAAGCTGCCAGTATGCTCAGCAGGTCTGTGTGACCTCAGGGGTGGCCCAGGGGATATGGACGGAGCACCAACATCAAGTGTGAAGGGGCCATCTTTACCCAGAGACCCTGGCTTTGTGTCTGTCTCCTGAGAGTCAGGGACCGGAGGCAGGGAACGAGCCACGTACACAAAAGACTCCTGACTACACCTGGCTCCTGACTACGCCTGCCAAGGATGGGCTGTGGGGCTCCTAAGTCACTGAATCTCACCAAGGGTGGGCCTCCTCGCTGGCAACAAAGGGGCTGGACTCGGTCTTTTCTGAGGGTGAAATAAATAACCACAAAACTATGCTAAGGCTCCAAGCTAGCGCCCGGGCTTGGCCAATCCCTGCGTCGTGATTCCTGCTACATCCGAGCACCACCTGTACTATGAGTCACTCCACATTTTTCTTCAAACTGACTCATTTTCACTTGCATGCATTTAAAAAGGAACTTTTTGATGTCACCTGCTGTAGAGAAGAGGCAACCATAAAAATAAATTCAGAGCTCCTAAAAAATGGTTTCTCCACGCACCATCTAAAATCACCCCGCACACCACCAGGGCTATGAATCCCACCCTCTGGGGAAACTAAGCTGGCGTCCATCACATCAAGGGCTCTGCGATAATAACCGCGACAGGCAAGTCACATGCACTATCCTGCCACTTCATTCTTACTGTGTGGGTCGACAGACATCCACTCCACGGTGGTGGCAACTCTTACGGCTCCCGCTTGGGAAATGAAGGAGCTGAGGCTCAGGGAGATGAAGCAGTTCCCCCAAAGTCTCACAGATACGCGACAGTGGCGAGAAGGGTCCTATGATCAAGCTGTTCTCCCGTTTTGGGCTGCACAGCTCACTTTGGACAGAAGTGTCTTTCCCTGGACCCAGGGAAGAGCCACACCGATGCCCTGTGATGGCTCTGGCCCGAGTTGCTGGTAGCATCTTTCCCCAGAACTTTCGTAACCCTTACTTCAATGGGACCCATACTTCAATTGTCCAGACTCCCTGTCACAATATACACAAAGGTGTTGCAGCTGTGGTTTCAGGGGGACAAAATGGTAGGGAGGCCTTTTCCCTTAGTTTTCATGATCTCCACTGCCGTGTTTTTCTTCTGAGAATACGTTATTGCTTTTGTAACAAGAGAAAAACAAGAGAAGGCTGGAGCTTCTTTTTAAATTCAGTGTTACTGGGGCGCCTGGGGGGGCTCAGTCACTTAAACACCCAACTCTTGGTTTTGGCTTAGGTCATGGTCTCACAGTGAGTTCGAGCCTCACGTAGGGCTCCACGCTGATGATGCAGAGCCTGTGTGGGATTCTCTCTCTCTCTCTCTCTCTCTCTCTCCACCCCTCCCCTACTTGCTCTCTTTCTCTTGATCAAAATAAATAAGCTTAAAAAAATTTTTTTTAAATAAATAAATAAATCTTTGGTGTTACTTTCCACCAAAGCTAAAAAGAGGGACTACATTCTGTCTCCCTCTTCTATGAAGAGTGCACACGATGGCACTGCATAAGTGACAACCTCAGAAATAGGTCCGGAGAGAGGTCTGCTTGCAGTGAGGACAAATATGCACAAAGCAAAATGTGGTGGGTTGGGGAGGGGCTGAACTGGCAACTAAGTGAAGGGTGTCGGGCACCTAAGTCCCTGAAGGTAGTGGTCTGTGGACAAGATGGCAGCCCCATCTGGCAGCCTGGGATCACCACCAAAAACAAGAATGGGGATGAGCTACAAATATGAGCAGAACAGCTGGGCGATGCCTGATGCTAACAACACCCAAATCCCACCTTCAACAGACTTGGGGCCATAGCAACCCAACCCAATACAAGACCAATCACTGAGCCTGTACACTTAGGGCTCTCCTGAAGCACACGCCCACCCCCGCCTTTGTGTTTATATCCGGAGTGTTCACATGTTGGCTGGCCTGAGACTATTCCAGTTTCTATCACTTGGCCTTGGCAACTATTGACAGCAGCTCCTTTCAAAACACAGTGTCCTTGTTTGGACAATGCATTATATGCTCACAAAGGGAAGGACACAGAAGCATCACGTGGTAGATAACACAGACAAAGAAAAATTCAGTTTCCCTACGTCGTGGTTCTAACTCCCACTGATTAGCAGACTAATCCTGGACAACGGAGGCTGGGCAAAGCCAGGGACTGGCAAACATCCTGAGCTAACCTCAACTATCTGAAGTGGTTGCCTGGGGCTCCAGGTGGAGAAGAATCCTAGGGTCACACATCTGGGCCCAGCAGGGAAAGGTGCTGTGTTTTATCAGCAATTCTGATGAGGAATTACGGGTGTGGAAGGAAGGGAAAGGGGGAAAGCGGCCATGTGCCCGAAATAAGCCACCCTTCAACGGAACAGAGCTCCATGAGCTCAAGACATTTGAGCTCTGAAATTACAGTTATTTGCCATCCCTGGTTTTGCCCAACCTCTGAGATCCAGGATTATTCCATTTGGTAGTCAAGTTCCCCTGGCTAGAGCAGAAAATCCAATCAGTTACGTTGGCGACGGAGGATCTGAAGAAGGAAACTCCCTGCAAAGAACAACCCCACACAACTCTGCAGGAGGGTCCCAGCAAGAAGCTGCGAATCCCTGGTGCCCTCCACATAGCTGCTCTCCAAGCTCCAAGAGGGAAGAGCTTGAAGGGAAATGGAAATTTCTTTGGAAATTTCTTCCTCTGTTCTCTGAGAGTTCCCCTGTAGAAGAGACTCTCAGCCAACAGAACAGAGTTATCCTTGCATCCCAATAACCAAAGCAAGTTTCCTGAGTTTGGTGTTTGGGACCGGTACATCGGAATGGCAAAATCCCAGCTGGTCGCTGTGATGCTGCCTTGTGTTGACAGCCTCGCTGTCATAAGCTTAAAGGTCTCAGATTCTCTGGCAAGACCCTGTGTGTGGTGGGAAAGGAGTATGTGTCTTGGGTATGTGAGTTCACAAAAAGATTTAGTTGAAATTATGAACTCAAGGGGCGCCTGGGTGGCTCAGTTGGTTAGGCGTCCGACTTCAGCTCAGGTCATGATTTCACGGTTTGTGGGTTCGAGCCCCGCGTCGGGCTCTATGCTGACAGCTCAGAGCCTGGAGCCTGCTTCGGATTCTGTGTCTTCTTCTCTCTCTCTGCCCCCCACCCCACCCCGGCTCGTGCTCTATCTCTCAAAAATAAATATTAAAAAAAAAAGCAATTATGAACTCAAGAAAGAGTGACAGCAAAAGAAATAGGCAAATCCTAAAAAGACACAGAGAGGAATGCGCGATGGTCATTTCAGCCATTTAGTTCCATTCTGTCCCTACTCAGACTCACGGATGTGCTCAGCTCACCTTGTTAAGCCGTTCCAGCATTTCTTTTAGGAGCAGCTGACATTCACACTCGTTTTCATACCTGCAAATTGGACACATAAGCAAAAGTTGGGCAGCTTCCGTGATTCCATATGTAATGACCACACAATCAGTGTTACAGAGTATATGCTGTCTCTTTAAGGAGAGGTCCTTAACTGGGGCGCCTAGGTGGCTCAGTAGGTTGGGTGTCCGACTTCGGCTCAGGTCATGATCTCACAGTCTGTGAGTTCCAGCCTCGCGTCGGGCTCTGTGCTGACAGCTCAGAGCCTGGAGCCTGTTTCAGATTCTGTGTCTCCCTCTCTCTCTGACCCTCCCCCATTCATGCTCTGTCTCTGTGTCTCAAAAATAAATAAACATTAAAAATAAATAAATAAATAAAGGAGAGGTCCTTAAGTTTAAAATAGTAGCTAATGCTGCACCGCTGAGCCTGTCGCTTCCTCACCTTTTCCACAGCATGGCGCACGCACAGAGTGGTGCTGTGGCCACCATGCACGGGGGTAACTGGGAGCGGTAAGTGAACAGGAGTCCCCCAGCCTGGAGGCCCAACCTCTGCCCCCCCCACCCCCTCCACCACCCCCCTACCCCTGCCCAGCCACATCAAGGATAAGGGAATCGTATCTCCACACACTCCTAACCCAAGTACAGCAGTGACACAGAGAATGGGAGACCACCCTACATGACCTACAACAAACACCACTAACCTGACCTTGATCTTGTTTGGGTTGCCTGTACTATTGTGTCTATACATGTGTCCATTTTTCTGGATTATGCCATTTAATCCTTACAAAACCCTGGAAGAGGGCAGTTACCATTGCCCTCCCCCCACCCTCCCACCACCGGGGCAAAATGAGAAAACTGAGGCTGAGAAACTGGCCTATAACCTTGGGCAGATGCTCAGGGCACTTCACCCTCATCTCTGTGCCTCAAGGCCTGCTCTGGGCCAGTGGGCAGGGCAGGCTGGACAGGCCACAGAGTCAGTGCCCCTGGGGCAGCCCTCGACCTCTGACAGAAGGTGAGTGGGTACATAAGTACCCCAGCCCCGTTGCCCTCAGCTAGGACAACTGAAGTGTCTCTCCATCCGGTAAGTTCGCTCCAGGTTAACTTGCTGAGGGCACTCAGTGTTTTCTGCCTTTCCTTCCTGCCTCACTTCCTCACTCCCCAACCTGTGCTCCTGGAGGTTACCTCCCAAATAAGCTACTTGCCCTCAAACCCCTTTATCAGGCTCAGCTTCTGGAAGACCCCAAACTAAAAGAGGGGTGGGGTCAGTACTCACACTTGAGTCTGACACCAAAAACTATGCCCTGATAGCCACACCATGCTGCCTGGGTAGAGCAGGGAAACCCCCCAAATTTAAACATACACAAAACTGATAAAGCAACAGATACTAGGAAGAGGTGTATTTTTCCCTCCTAGTCATCTTCTTCCCTGGACTTGAAGAAAATGATAGAGATCAAGAGGCAGAGAGACCATGGAAATCATACTGTTTTGAGAGTTTCCCTCTAGGGGGACTTTCATCCCCTTATGAAAAAGAGAAGGCTCGGGGCGCCTGGGTGGCGCAGTCGGTTAAGCGTCCGACTTCAGCCAGGTCACGATCTCGCGGTCAGGGAGTTCGAGCCCCGCGTCAGGCTCTGGGCTGATGGCTCGGAGCCTGGAGCCTGTTTCCGATTCTGTGTCTCCCTCTCTCTGCCCCTCCCCCGTTCATGCTCTGTCTCTCTCTGTCCCAAATATAAATAAACGTTGAAAAAAAATTAAAAAAAAAAAGAAAAAGAGAAGGCTCCTTCCCAAATGACTCCGCCCTCATTCCCTATAAGCTGCTCCTAGTATCCATCATGGCCTTCTTCCAAGAGTCAAAGCCCTTGATGTGGGTAGGGGCACAAGGCTGCCTAGAGGGAAGACTACATTTCCCAGCCTTCCTTGCAGCTAGGTGTGGCCATGTGACTAAGTCCTGACCAATGGGATATAAGCATAAGTCTGCGGCAGCTTCCAAATATCTTCCATAAGAGACGCTGTGGGTGTGCCCTTCTGTATCCTTTCCTCCACCCTGCAGAAGGCCAGGCAGAGCCTTCTGAGCCTCAAATACTTCAGAGTGGCATGCTGAATTGCTAGGCCAGACCTTCCACAAGACGGAAACAAATTCCCATCCTGGATAAGCCAATGTCACTTTGGAGTTTATGCCATTTGTGGTTGAAACGAATCCTAATTAGCACTCAGCCCAACCCACAAAGCATAGGTTTCAGGGCCCCTGCACACGCATGCCATGGGCTCAAGTCAAGTACCGAAAGAGGCCTCTAGAAAACTATGCTGTTGTAGGGCGAGTTCCAACCTAGGGAAAGAACAATCAGGAATATGTGCGCTGCGCACACTCCCAGTCCTAAAGCCACCTAAGAAGCTCAGCTATAACCAGCAAGCAAAACATATTTGTACAAGTATTACATTTCCCACCAGGATGTCACAGTTAGCAGTGTCTTTTGTGTGTGGCTCTAACGGAGCCAGAAATTCTGTTTTAATGGCTAGTTAGCTTCGCGAATAAAACTGTTAACAAAAATCCAAATTTTCTCATTGCAGAAACATCCAAGAATTTCTGTAGCTTAAAAACATGTTTGATAAATAATGCAATAATGTGTTATCGTGGGTAATTTTCATGCTGTAAAGACAAGTCTAGATATTAAAGGCAAGTGATTTCATTATAAAGACTTCATAATAAGAAATGATATGGGGCACCTGGGTGGCGCAGTCGGTTAAGTGTCTGACTCTCAGTCTCAGCTCAGGTCATAATTTCACAGTTCGTGAGTTTGAGGCTCTGCACTCACGGTGCAGAGCCTGTTTGGGATTCTCTCTCTCTCCCCCTCCTGCTTGCTCTCTCTCTCTCTCTTTCTCAAAATAAATAAATAAAAATTTTTAAAAAGTTTAAAAAAGAAATCATGATATATTCATATATACATCCACATAAGCGAATATACAAATGAATTCATAAAGTGAAAAAACACATTGGCTTTAATTACCTGATTGTTTTACATAATTACTTTTGGTTTTTAGCAATTTAGATAATTGACGGTATTCATTAATGTATCTTGGTAGTTTTATTTGTTTTTATTTCATTCTGTTTTATTTAGTCTTCATTTGATGTGCTGAAAACCTGATTTTGAAATTATTCAACTATCCTAGAAGAGAATATGCCTACCAAGGCTGCATTATTTTCACCTGGTTTTGGCTAACCAATAACTCACCTCTGGGATTAAAACCAAATTTGGGGGGCGCCTGGGTGGCGCAGTCGGTTAAGCGTCCGACTTCAGCCAGGTCACGATCTCGCGGTCCGTGAGTTCGAGCCCCGCGTCGGGCTCTGGGCTGATGGCTCAGAGCCTGGAGCCTGTTTCTGATTCTGTGTCTCCCTCTCTCTCTGCCCCTCCCCCGTTCATGCTCTGTCTCTCTCTGTCCCAAAAAAATAAATAAACGTTAAAAAAAAAAACCAAATTTGGTGTGTATATACCCCTGCATGCAGGGGTATGGGTATGATTTTTATTACAATTTTCAAATCCCAAGACTTTAGTTGGAATATTAAAGTATCTGCAAGGGGGCAATGGGAGGGAATAAATTAATGGAAATGATTAAATAAATCACAGAGTCTGAAGCTCCACGATAAACATACAACTCAGAACCAAGTAAAATCACCAAAAGATCAGGAAAATTCAACATGGCCGTTCCTTCAATGAGGGCTCAAAGGAGTCCTGTGCTCCCAGCCAAATCTCAGTAGACTGGGACCTAATAACTAAGCAAAGACCATTTGGGGATCCAGGGTTTCCTGTTGGCCTGTGGAGCTGCCCTGGGTGTCTGAACCAGTGTACATTTCCCTTTGCTTTAGAAAACATGAGCTTCATTTGAATGAGGGTCCTATCTCTGGACCTCACTCCCCAGGAATCCAAGAATGACTTCTCTTCAAGACCCTGTGTTCTAGAAAGCATAAGGTGCGAAAACCCGAGTTCAAGTCCTGCCACCCACAGTTTTGCCATGAAGGGCTGTAACAGGTGGATTTCCAGATCCTTTCTTCCGGCTCCAAATCTGTTTTTAGGGATCATACCCAGAAACAGGGCTGATAGGAATGAAATCAATGAGTCTGACTGATTAATATGTTCAGTACACACTGTTGAATATCCTGCCCAAGATTCAGATTAAGCATGTGGAACTCAGGGGCACCTGGGTGGCTCAGTCAGTTAAGCGTCTGACTTCGGCTCAGGTCATGATCTCACAGTTGGTGAGTTCCAGCCTAGCATTGGGCTCTGTGCTGACAGCTCAGAGCCTGGAGCCTGCTTTGGATTCTGTGTCTCCCAAGCTCTCTGCCCCTCCCCCACTTGTGTTCTATCTCTCTCTCAAAAATAAATATTAAAAAAAAAGTTCTTTTAAAGAACGTGGAACTCAAACATAGAGCACGTTTGGAGAAGACGCTCTGACTACCCTAGACCAGGGGCCCCCAAACCTGGCTGTTCACTGGAATTATCAGTGGAGCTCATAAAACTTAAAATTCCTGGGCCCCATCTGAGGTCCAGGGTGGGGCCTGGACATCTGTATATTTAAATTAGTTTATGTAATTTTAAAATAGATAAATCTCTTACATGATTAGACAAATTTTTTTAATTACCTAAAAAGCTGTTCCATTAAAAGTCTCCCTTCCTAGCTCTCCCATTGCCCAGCTCCTACTCCCCTATCCTCCACAGGTAATCAGTGCCATTGGGGTTTTGCATGTGTCTGTGTCCCCTTTTTCCTAATGCAAGCAAAAAATTCTACTCTTCCCCCCCCCTTTTTTTTTTAAAGTAAAGGATAGTAACATGCTATTCTCTTGTTTTACAATTGGGTAGCATCTCATTGCATATATGAAGCACAATTTGATCTCCTATGAATAGGCATTTAGGTTCATTCCAGGCTTTTGCTAATGCAGATCACACTGCCACGTTGGCATGTATTTTACACCGGCCGGATCATCAAAAAATAAATTCCTTGGGAATGCAAGCTGGTGCAGCCACTCTGGAAAACAGTATGGAGGTTCCTCAAAAAACTAAAAATAGAACTACCCTACAACCCAGCGATTGCACTACTAGGCATTTATCCACAGGATACAGCTGTGCTGTTTCGAAGGGACACATGCACCCCCATGTTTATAGCAGCACTATCAACAATAGCCAAAGTATGGAAAGAGCCCAAATGTCTATCGATCAATGAATGGATAAAGAAGATGTGGCATATATATACAATGGAGTATTACTCAGCAATGAAAAAGAATGAAATCTTGCCATTTGCAACTATGTGGATGGAACTGGAGGGTATTATGCTACATGAAATTAGTCAGAGAAAGACAAAAATCATATGCCTTCACTCATATGAGGACTTTAAGAGACAAAACAGATGAACACAAGGGAAGGGAAACAAAAATAATATAAAAGCAGGGAGGGGGACAAAACAGAAAAGACTCATAAATATGGAGAACAAACTGAGGGTTACTGGAGGGGTTGTGGGAGTGGGGAATGGGCTAAATGGGTAAGCGGCACTAAGGAATCTACTCCTGAAATCATTGTTGCACTATATGCTAACTAACTTGGATGTAAATTTTAAAAAATTAAAAAATAAAAAAATAAATAAATAAATAAATAAATTCCTTGAAGTGGTCCCTGCAGAGTAAATACAGGTTCCTGTATTTATAGCCTTGGAGGGTGGGGACAAATTGTGAGTATCCTTTTTTCTTTTTAATAGTTCTTTAGGTGATCTTTTTTTAAATCCCATCCATTTATTTATTTATTTATTTATTTTTGACAGCATGCAAGCACGGGAGGGGCAGAGAAAGAGGGACAGAGGATCTGAAGCAGGATCTCCACTGACAGTAAGCGAGCCCGATGTGGGGCTTGAATTCATGAACTGTGAGATCATGATCTGAACCGAAGTAGGTCGCTCAACTGACTGAGCCACCCAGGTGCCCCAATTCTTTTTTTTTTTTTTAAGTTTTATTTATTTTGAGAGAGAGAGAGAGAAAACACAAGTGGGGGAGGGGCATAGAGAGCAAGTGGGGGAGGTGCAGACAGAGAGGGAGACAGAGAATCCCAAGCAGACTCTGTGCAGTCAGCGCAGGGCCCCATGTGGGGCTGGAACTCACATCGTGACCTGAGCCGAAATCAAGAGTCAGGCTAAACCCACTAAGCCACCCAGGTCCGCATGCCCCAATTCTTCAAGCGATCTTATCATCTTATTCATTCTGTGGGAAAGGGGGACATGCCCTGGACCAGGGCTCCTGAAGCTTCAAGCTTAACTCCACTTCTAACCAGCTCCCAGATGATGGCAATGCTGCACATCCACAGACCACAATTTGAGCAGCAAGATTCTAGAGGCCACACATTGAAATAATTTCTGGGTATCAACTATGATGCGGTAAAGATGATTAGACTCAGCACGCCGAGGCCCTGAATTCCGTGCCGCTGCTGGGACTCACTAGGTGAGTGACCTTGCCCTAAATCTTAACATTGTCTAAGCCTCAGTCTCCTCATCTGCAAAACAGGTGCAGTACCATGTATTACAGGATACGGCTGTGAGGAGCAAATAACATGAATATATCTCAAAAACAAAAGGAGCCAGACATACAAGCACGAATCTTTAAGATTCCATTTTTGTGAAATTCCAGAACACGCAAAATTAACCTACGGTGACAGAAATCAGAACACTGGGCGCCTCCCGCTTTTTTGTGGGGAAGGGGTACAGACTGACCGGGAAAGGACAGGAGGGAACTTTCTGGGGTGGTCAAAGTTCCCTGCTTGTTTCCGTAGTTACATGGGTACATACATCATCAAAACTCATTGAACTATGCACTTAAAACCTGTGCATTTTTTAAAGATTTTATTTTTAAGTAATCTCTACGCCCAACGTGGGGCTCAAATTTACAACCCCCAGATCAAGAGTCGCTGGCTCTACCGACTGAGCCTGCCAAGCGCCCCGAAACCTGTGCGTTTTACTGCATGTAAATTATAGCTACATTTTAAAGCACATTACAGGCAAATGATGCCGTTTCGTGCAAACCGTGAAGTGCCATCGGAATGGAAGCGGGTTCTAGGTGGGTGAGAGGCGCGGTGGTGCGCGCGCCCTCTGCGGGGTGAAAGTCCTGGCGACCGCCCCTACCCTGCCTCCGCTCACCCCACCCCCACCCCCCTTCCGGGCCCGCCGCTTACTTGCAGCGGAACTCGTCGAGCACGCGCTGCGCCTCCGCACCCTGGCGCTCCAGCCGCGTGCGCTCGGCCGCCAGGTCCCGGGCGCGCTGGAGGTTGCCCTCGACGTGGCGGGCGAGGGCGTCCTCGGGCCCGGCCAGCTCGCCCAGGCGCTGGAAGGCGTCCAGCTGCCGCCGGAGGACGGCGTGGCGCTGCTCGAGCGCGCGGGCCCGCTGGACGTGAGCAGCCACGCGCTCGCCGAGCCCCTGCAGCGCGGCCAGGCTGGGCGCCGCCGTCCGGCCCTCCGCCAGGCTATCGGGCTCGGCGGCGCGCGGCGCCTCCTCGGCGCGCTCGTACTGCTCCTTGCGGGTCTGGAAGACGTAGCTGCGCCGGTACATGGCTCCGGTGCGGGCGAGCGCGCGCGAACCGGCTCGGGGAGGCCGTGCGCTGGGGCGGCGGGACGCTAAATAAACATCGGGGGGGCCCAGGCACGCTGCTGGGACGTTCCAGAGCCGATCAGCTGTCGAGCTCAACACGGCGCCCAGCCCCCGGAAGAATAAAAGAGCAGCAGGCCTGCTTTTGTGCGCCGGATTAGCGGACCATGCAGCTCTGGGGGTTGGAAGGTTAAATTGGGCAATGAGGTTTTTGTTCTGGGATTGTTAAAGCCTGTCGCTTTATGATTGAATGGGGGGTCAGGAGGACAAGAGAGGCAGGACTGCTTCCTCTGGGAATTGTGAAGGAAGCCCAAGGGAGCTTGTTAAACTTGGACTAGCTCAAAAGCCCAGGGACCCTCGCTTTGTCACCGCTTTTTCGGTCAAGCTCTCAATTACAGGCCTTTTCAACAATGCCATTTTTTTCCCCCGATCTCTTCAGCAATTCTTTTGCATAATTACAACATGACATTTAGGAACCCTCCTTACGTTAGGGGTTCTTAACCACGGATGCAAAATAAATGGCCATCTCATAAAACTGTGATGTGTGCGGCAAGTAAGTTTTACTAATACCTATGCATCTGCGTTAGGAAAACATTCTTTGTACAACAACTTAAGAAGCAAATGCACGGTTATCATTACAATGTTACCCTTGCTCCCGTGGATTCCGCCATCCTTTCCGGAGTAGAAGCAAGAAGCAAGTAGAGTTCCATCAGGATATTGGCATAACTGATTCTTTACACTAAAGAAAAAAACCCTCACAGCCTAAAAGATTTAGTAAATTGGCCAACTCTCAATTCGAGAATATAAAAGAATTTTTTGCCACTATGTTTAATTTTAATTTGTATTGTGGAAATAACAAAGCTGGGCTTTAACAAATTTAAAAGTAAATTGTGGGTGTTGAAGGAAACTAATAGCATTTGATGAGAATGATCCAACATATGACTATTTTGTCATGTCTCCAATTTATTTTTTTATTTTTTGAGGGGGGGGCACAGTGAGTGAGGGGCAGAAAGAGAGAGGGAGAGAGAGAGAAGCAGGGCTCCCCTGAAGTGGGGCTTGTGTGCTTTTTTAACCAAATGGGGGCTCGTGTTCACCGGAAGTAGGGCTGGAACTCACCTGATTAAGGACTCAAACTTAGGAATGGTGAGATCATGACTTTAGCAGAAGTCAGTTGCCTAACCCACTGAGCCACCCAGGTGCCCTCCAATTTTTTTTTTTAAGTTTATTTTTATTTACTTTGAGAGAGCGAGATAAAGAGCAAGCAGGGGAGGGAAGAGTGCGAGGGACACAATCCCATTCAGGCTCTACCCTAACAGCACAAAGCCAGATGCAGGGCTTGAACTCAAAAAAAGTGAGATCATGACCTGAGCCACAATCAAGAGCTGAGCATTTAACCGAAACAGCCAGCCTCCCAGGTGCCCCAAGTCTCCGATTTAAAAATCATTATCAAAAAGGTTGTTTTCCTAAAAAAAGGATTCAGCTTAGCAGTGCCATATAATTAACAACTATATGGATTGCACATAATTACATAATTATATTACAAATTAAAGTTATAGTTACCAAAGTTTGAGAAAAGGACACAGATCTTTGATGGGTTTTATTATTTCCCCAAAAAGACTGTAAGGTAATGGAATGAATTCAGTTGAGAGTGACTCTAAGATAAGGTCCAGAGTTGTGGTGGTGGTGCAGTTATTGTTCTATTTTCTTTTCTTAAGGCATTTAAAAATAGATGTTATGATCAAATCAAGGAGAGCCACATGAGTATTTTTGGTAGATACACATGTATCATGCTGATGGCATGGTAAATTGGTTTCCGGCTTCCTAGAGAGCAAAACCAGCACAGAACAAAGAAAGGATATAAAAGCACTTGTTCCTTCTGACATCAGGTATTAAATATTGCTACAGAACAAACTGACCCCAAAACTAAGTGGCACACAAGAAGAAATATTTAGCGCTGCACTCCCAGATCGGCAGGTCAGCTGGATAGCTCTCCTTCGAGCTGCAGATCTTTCAATCTGCTAGGGGAGCTGTGCTCCAAATGTCTCTCTTCCTCCTAGAACTAGTGATGACAAGAGGAGGAAAAGAAGCCCAGCCACACAATCTCTTTCCAAGTCTTTGTTTGCATCCTGTCCATTAACACCCCTTTCATCAAAGCAAACCAGGTGGCCACAGCCAAAGTCGAGAGGCAGGGAAGAGGCACCGCCCACCCCCAGGGCCATGGCAAGGGTGCGGGTGTGTAACTGTCACACTGCAGTGAAGAACTGGGACCAGAAACTCCATCAACCACACACAGTAATCCCATTTGAAAGAAAAAATAGATATCCCAGAAACAAAACAAAGGGAAAAAAATATCATTTCAATTTAATCCAGTGGAATAAACACTTAGAAAATATTTACTCATAAAGCGTGTCTCAGGGAGAGAAATATTGAACAAGGTCAAGTCCCTCCCTACCCTCAAGGTGCAGGGAGACAAATTCCTACTCAACTAATTCAAGACACAAGGAAATCTGGAATAAGTTCTAAAATAGAGATCTTCCCAAAATGTGATTGTACCTAAAGCAGAAAGTTAAAGAGAAGTTAGAATTTCAGGCAGAACAGCATAAACAAGGTGTGAGAACAACTGGAGTAAGGTGCAGTAAAGGGAGCCGTATGCTTCCTGGGCGTGGTGAACCTGAACTGAGGAGAGCTTGGCAAGAAGGGTCCCAAAAAAGGAAAGTTCGAAGGAAGGGCTGAGCTTCCCATCAGCTGCGGTGGCTTGAATGCGGGCATCATCTCCACAACTTCTCCCAAGCCCTACCAAAAATGGCAGCAAAGAATTTATTTTTAGACGAAAACTCCACAAAAATAAGGAAGAAAAGATCACAGTGGACAAGATATACCAACAAATTTTCAGAGGGCTGAACAGAGAGATTAGTGGCAACTGACTTAATGGAGTGAAGCAAGCTGACACCTACATGGGGCAAAGGGCACTGGGAAAGGAAAACAAGATGGTTCACCTAGAGGAGTCTCAGAAAAGCTTACGAATTGGATGTACCAGGGGCGCTTGGGTGACTCAGTTGGTTAAGCATTCAACTTCAGCTCAGGTCATGATCTCACAGCTGGTGAGTTCCAGCCCCACGTCAGGCTCTTGTGCAGACAGCTCAGAGCTTGGATTCTGCTTCAGATCCTGTGTCTCCCTCTCTCTCTGTCCCTCCCCCAACTCACACTCTATCTCTCTCTCTCTCAAAAATAAATAAACATTAAAAAATTTAAAAAAAAAAAAAAGTAACTGGATGTACCAGATACAACAGAAGGTGGGGGTGAAGGGTAGAGCTGAAAAGCCATAGGGTTAGCCCAGGGCCCAAGAAGCAGTTAGAATTTCAGATCACCTACCCCATTCCTGTGCAGCCTGGCAAAGCTGAGTGAAACTGAACGGGAGAGGTCTTAAGTTGAAAGTCACCTAGTTGAAACACAGCTAAGGACAGGATAAGACCATACTGGAACAAAGGAATTAAGACAGTGGATGCATCATGAAAGATGAGCTGTACAATCTCCATCTCTCCATTTACCGCTTCGCTTCTCTTCTAGGATGCTGGTCACCTGGCATGTATTTCCCTGGGGCAGGAGAAAATTCTCTGGGGAAACTGAGTGACTTCGGAGAAAAAAAAAATCACCAGATACTGAATTTGGAATATGGACTGACTGGCTTTTGGTTTGAACACGGAACACGTTTGTACGGTCCAACGTAACCCAAGCCGTTGATCATCAGACTAAGACCCATTTTATAATGAAGTTTTACTTGTGACAGCATAGGATTTTTAAATCTCTCTTTCTCACCTAGATTTTTATTTTTGAAAGTTAGTATTTTTCCCTAAAAGGATAGATTCCCTAGATTTGTATACTTTGCCCTGTCCTGTACCAGGGCAATGGTATTATCATGATATCCTGCTCCGCTCTGTTGATGCGGAGTGTAAAAGTGTAAATATTTCCTATCGGAATGTTACTATAATTAGTTGGGTTTTCCTCTCACAGGAGGAAAGAAACTAAGCTGGTGTAGTTAGCTTCTTCTGTGGGACCTCTGGCTGGTTTGTGACTTTGTGACTTGTTCTTGAATCCTGTTTTTTAACTGGCCATAAAGTATGACAATGAGCACTAATCGACAGCTGGATTCCCCCTCTCCTGGTCATTTTAGTTTGGGCTCCCCCGAAGCAGACCCTGAAACAAGAGTTAAAGTGCAAGTAGTTTATCTGGAAGGTAATCCCCAGGAAGGGCCTGCAGGGAGGCAGGAGGGAGACAAGGAAGGCCAAACACGGTTTGTGATAACAAGCCAGTCACCATGCTGCGGCAGACAATGGGGGTCAGTCGCACTGGAAACTCTGGGAGATAGCTCCGTACAGGCAGCTCAGAGCCACCCCACCCAAGGGTGAAAGAGCTGGAGATTTACCCACCACTCCCAGGGCCCGAGGGCTGATCACAGGGCATTTCCGGTCTGCCACAGGCAGCCAAAGTAGCTGAGGTTAGCTTTTGACCCCACCACCTTAGCAAGTGACCTAGCCAGTCAGGTTCCAGTATGGACACCGGGCAATGGGAATAATCACTTACAGGAAGAGGCTCATCATACATCTCAGTTTGCCTGAGATGATCCACGTTTACGCATCTATCTCGGCACAAGTATAGATAGCACCCTCCTTCTGTCTCTCTCTGTCCCAAAAATAAATAAACGTTGAAAAAAAAAATTTTTAAAAAGGGGCGCCTGGGTGGCGCAGTCGGTTAAGCGTCCGACTTCAGCCAGGTCACGATCTCGCGGTCCGTGAGTTCGAGCCCCGCGTCGGGCTCTGGGCTGATGGCTCAGAGCCTGGAGCCTGTTTCCGATTCTGTGTCTCCCTCTCTCTCTGCCCCTCGCCCGTTCATGCTCTGTCTCTCTCTGTCCCAAAAATAAATAAACGTTGAAAAAAAAATTTTTTAGATAGCACCCTCTTTTATTCTCAAGAGTTTCTTGGTTTGTCTGGGAATGCTGCCTCTCTTATTCTGGCCCACGTGACCTGAATGTCTAGCCTGAATCTAATCATAAGGAAACATCCATGCAAACCCAAAATAAGAAACATTCTATTAATAAAAATAGAAGGGGATGATATTCTTCCAAAATGTAAATACCAGAAAAGAAAAAGAGAGACTAGAGAAATATTCCAGATGAAAGGAAACTAAGGAATCACAGCATCTACATGCAATACTGTTCCTAGACCCCATCCTACATTTGGAAGAGAAGAAAGTGCTATAAAGGTCATCGCTAGATCCCTTGACAAAATTAGACTATGGACACTCAATTAGGTAAAAGAATTGTGTCAATGTTAAATTCACTGAAGTTCCTGACTATAGCACAGTTAAGTAAAATGATATCTTTATTCTTAGAAAATATATTCTTAGCCATCTAGGGGTGAAACACATGATATATGCAACTTACTCTGAAAAAATGCTGAAAAGCAAAATAAAATAAAATAAGTTCTGAAAAGCACGACATGTGTAAATATAAACATAGACATAAACATAAAAATGTATGGAGAAAGAGAGAAAGGAGATGAGGCAAAATAGTGACAATACGTCAATCTTGGTAAAGGATATATGGGTGTTGTATAATCGCAATTTCTCAAAGAAAGTTGGAAATTACTTTCAAAACCGTTTGTGGAAATCCCGATCCTGTTCTATGTTAAGCATTTTGCAGTGTAGGCATTTAATAAACATCACTTCCTTTACCTTATAGCCATATATATGTGTGTAACAGCAAAGAGAGAGAGAGAAGGACAGAGAGGAAGATGGTTTAGCCAACTGTGTAGTAACAACAGGAGAAAATGGTCTATAACCATTATAAGCATGTGGAAGACATGATGATATAAGTGAGAATGTTTATAACAAACATGAAGGGGAGCAGAAAAACAAAATACCAGATGCATGGTGATGACAGTCATCTAAGAACACATATATGTACATAATCGGATACTCGTGTCATATACCAGGTTTTATATTCATCACATCTTATTGTCATTTAAAGCTAATTGCATATATGGTGCTTCTTAAAATTTTTAATTAGCATTCTTGATTAAAGAACTGAACAACTATTTTAAAAGCCTGAGTAAAATAGGCATAGATGTTTGCCTTTTAGTCAACTTCATATTCTACAACTTTGAGCTTTCTCTTTCAGTTTACATACATCCTGAGTTTGCTGTGGGCTTTTTCCAGACACAAAGAGTAGTATAGAACATTCATGTAAATGCCGGGTCTCTGCTGTTTTCTAGTTGTGTGGTCTTGAACAATTCAGTTAATCTGTTTTCTAAAATGATGGATTTGAGCAAAACAATCTCTAAGATCTCCTTTCTGCTTGTTAGGGGCCAAATTGTGTCCTCTAAAATTCATGTTTTAGGGGCACCTGGGTGGCTCAGTCAATTGAGCATCTGACTTTGGCTCAGGTCACTATCTCACGGTTCATGGCTTTGAGCCCCACGTTGGACTCTGCTGACAGCTCAGAGCCTGGAGACTGCTTTGGATCCTGTGTCTCCCTCGCTCTCTATCCCTGCCCCCCCCCCAAAATAAATAATAAACATTTAAAAAATTAATAAAGAATAAAAATAAATAAACCACATTTTAGTCCTAACCCCCAGGGCCTTAGAATGAAACCGTATTTGGAGATAGGGCCTTTAAAGAGGTAATTAAGGTAAAATGAGGTCATATGAGTGGGCCCTAATCCAGTGTGACTGGTGTCCTTATAAGAAGAGTAGATGAGGACACAGACATACATACAGAGAGAAGACCATGTGAGGATACAGGGAGAAGGTGGCCATCTGCAGCCAAGGAGAAACCAACTCTGCCGATACCTAAGTCTCAGACTTCAAGACTCCACAGCTATAAAAAAAAAAAAGTGAATCTCTGCTGTTGAGGCCACCCAGTCTGTGTTTCTTTGTTATGGCAGCCCAAGCAAATCGATATACTGCTCTAACATTCTGATTCTTCCGTTTGCTCTTCTTTTATAGGCCATCCATTTCCCAGGATATATAAATGTCTGCCACAAGAGGGCCACTCCGCCCTCAGAGTGAACACCCTGCCTCCTGGTCGCCCAGAGAGCGATTGTTGATTGCAAAGGGGACAGAAGGATGTGCAGATGAACAGCCTGAAGCCTTTCCACAAAACTGGATCGACCCCAAAGACAAGCCATCCTGGAAAGCTTCATTTCCAGTAGGGTGACCAGCAAACCCAAGGGAAAGGGCAGACCCCTGGCTCCCCAGCCCCTGCTCTCTTAGGGTGGCCTCCCCATCAGGCCCCAGGCTTCATAGTATGCTTAGCTACCCTGTAAGTGATGAGTCCGCATGAAGAGTAATAACAGATGGGGAAACATCAGAAGCAAGTCTCAATCTCCAGCTGCACACACACGGATAACTATGAAGACTTCCAGGAAAGTAAAGCCGCAAATTCAAACACTATCAAAGGCAGGAGGGCACTGAGCACCAACCAGCCTTTCTCAGGGTCTGGTACAGAAACTGAAGTAAGAATCAACAAACCCAAATTTGTTGGATGACAGATATGTTCCTTGGGCTTTTCGACTGATGGGCACCAGGACAAGGCATGACAACTAAATGCAACGCACAATCCTATACTGAATAGGATTTTAGACTAAGAAAAAAAAGCTATAAAGGATTATTATTGTGATGATCGGTGAAATTTGGATAAGGAATACAAATTAGATAATAATATTACAAGTGTTGGGGCACCTGGGTGGCTCAGTCCATTAAACGTCCAATTTCAGCTCAGGTCATGATCTCACCATCATTGGTGGGGTCAAGCCCCACACTGGGCTCTGGTCAGCACAGAGCCAGAGCCTGCTTCAGATTCTGTGTCTCCCTGTCTCTCTCTCTGTCCCTCCCCTGCTCGTGCTCTCTTTCTCTCTCAAAAATAAATAAACATTCAAATAATAACAATAATATTATTACAAGTGTTAAAATGGCTGCTTTGGGGGCGCCTGGGTGGCTCAGTCGGTTAAGCGGCCGACTTCGGCTCAGGTCATGATCTCTCGGTCCGTGAGTTCGAGCCCCGCGTCGGGCTCTGTGCTGGCAGCTCAGAGCATGGAGCCTGTTTCAGATTCTGTGTCTCCCTCTCTCTGATCCTCCCCTGTTCATGCTCTGTCTCTCCCTGTCTCAAAAATAAATAAACGTTAAAAAAAAAAAAATTAAAAAAAAATGGCTGCTTTTGGTAATTGTACTATGGCATGTAAGAAAATGACCTTGTTCTTAGGAAATACATGCTAGTTTAAAGAATAATGACTCACAGTGTCCAATTTACCCTCATTTGGTCAGAAAATAAGTAATATACATGCATATACAATACACACGTATAAAAACAAATACAGAGAATAAAAAAGCAAATGGAGAAAAATGTAAATAATTGGTAGGTTTGGGTAAAGGGCATATGCAACGTTTCTATAAATTTGAAATTATAACAAAAGAAAAATTACTCCCCTCCCCAAATCCCAAACACCTCTGGGAAAATTGTGCTGAGAATAGATATTTCTTAGTAACAGCAAGAAAATACAAAAATGCTCCTTGCTCCTTTGATTTATGAGATGGTATCATGGTCTCAGCAACCAGGGTTTCACTGATGATTATGGTGGGAGTTTAACACCACTAATAATGAAGGGCTTTTGAAATACATGTGGACTTACCTTCCCTGAACACCAGACAATGGGGCACTACCTCGGAATGTCTCTTAGACATTGCTACACCTGCTCATTCATCATCATTCTGGTCATGCATGAAAAGTGACCATACCCATGACCTCAGGGACGCAGAAATGAGTCATTGTCCCAGCAGGCGCCATCCTCAGGACGAAGTTTGGAGAAGGCTCTTTCACAGTTATAATTTCTTGTGAATTTAAAGCTAGCCACGCTATTCATATTTCTGCTCTGTACTTCTCTTTAAGATATCATTAAAGAGACCCACCACCACTCTTAAGCTGGGTCAGCCTACATCTGAACCACAGCTCCTTTTCTTCTGGGAATAGATTGTCAAGTGGTTTGATGTATCATGGAGTCACAGTTGGCCAACCGGCATGCCCATTTTGCCCTAAAAGGAGGATGTGCGAGCCCCTGGTTTGTACTACTTAGGAAACGGATACCAAGGAATTAGGCACACATATCCACGAAGGCATTTCTGATAGAAATATACATTCACAGATTGAAGCATACATCTGGTATATCATTTTTATAGGGCCATACCTACTTTCCCATGGATATCAAGAGGAACTGATTTAACTATTTCATAAGAGAAGATATTCTTATCTTCTCAAGTTCACCCAACTTTATAGCTTTAACCTGAAATTGGGAGGGATGATATTCCAAGCTACTTTATCCACTATTTTCAGACTCTGCACACAGTTTGAAAGTATAGTAAGGGATGCTAAGACTGTATATTTTAAGCTCTAACCTTCAATTCTTGGACTTAAACTCCACATGAAGTTTTCCAGTGAAATTTGTAACAATAGCCTGTTTGAGTAAGAGCGCCATTGTTCGGCGGGCATATGAGCCTGACCAAAATTCAAAGAACTACCTATTCCAACCATCTTCCTTGTTAGCTCATTTGCAAAAGGACTGTAATGATGTGAATTACCCTACTACTCCACTCTCTACCACCAGCTCATGGTTGACACTTACTAACTCCTACCCCTTCATTTATCTAATATTTTTGTCTTCTGACTTTTCTTCTCACCCAGCAGATACCATCCTTTTCATTTGTCTTTGCCCCTTGGTTTTGGAAAGCAATATCTTCCTTACTCCCTTGAACAACCCCCCACACCCACCCATCAGCTCATGCAAATTAATTTATGAAGAAGACTATTGAGAGGTCTTCAGTTCCACACACCTGAACCCACCATAGGCTTAGCCAAGATGCCTCTCTAAGGCTCCTGGCTAAGGCTCCACCTCTCCACTACCCAGGCAGACCTGCTCACGCGATTGTTCTAACTAGCCTAGAGCTCTTTAAAGGCAAGGCAGATGTCAATGCTGTTCATTCTACAGTGCCCACTCTCCACCAGAGGATTGGTCCAGGGATCCATCTTCCATCCTTCCCCAGGCTGCTGGAAACCCTAGAAGGTTAGCCCTCCTAGATTGCTTCCCCTGACTCCGTGCCCTCGGTCTTCCTGTAGGGTTTCGCAAATGGGGGTCGCTGGCAGGAGATCACAGAGACTTCCTTCCTGTTTCCCTCTCCCCTCTAAGCAAAATCACCCCTTCATGGCATCTCATGCTTCCTGCTGTTGTTAGTTCTGGGCCCTTTATCACGCTTTGATGATTCCCTTAACCCTGCTCACAGCTCTGGAGGTTGTCTCTTCATTGAATTCTCTTCAGTTAAGCTCTTTGTTTATACCGTTTATTTCCCGCCAGATACAGAAGAACCCTGGCGGATGCAAAATCTCATTCATCAACCAGTAAAGCTTCTGAAACACTGTATCCGCTAAAATGAATTAAACAACAAATGAAACTTAGAAAGAAACTTGAAATCAAGACAAAGTTTTTGAGTGTTGGGAAGTTTCATCTTGAAACTTTCAGATGGGGAAGCTGAGTATCGCTTGGCCAAAGACGAAGCTGGAGGCTCTTATCAATAGCTGTACCAGAGGCCTGGCCCTCTTACTCCACGTTTGCTGACTGGGCTGTTTCAAAAGATGTAGTCAAATTTTGTAAGCAGCCCTCAGTTGAAATTTGCTTTGCTCTCCACTGTGATGACTAGATTTCTGTTGTCTCCCATCGTTAGAAGGAATATAGAGGGACAGGACAAAAATCCATTCGTTAAGAAAGAAAACAGTGCACCAGTCAGCAGAATGACTAGACACAATAAAAGAAAAAAAAAACTTCCTTGAAAAAGAGCTTTCTATTTTAAGAAGATGAATAAAAAGAAGAGATGCCCTCAAGTGATAGATAATGAAGACATTCCCGAGGCATCCTCAGCCTCTGTGGCTTTTCAGATGTAAACCTGAAATGTAGTCCATTACAAAGGGTGGCATCCAAGCTGGATTCCGGCTGCTTGTTCTGTTCTGTGGTCAGCCAGTGCTGAACATAGCAGTTTAAATAAGCCACAGAGCTGTGAGTGGCCCCTGTGTCTAAAATGCCTTCTGGATTATCCTCAATGACCCTAATCATAGGACTTAGAATCTGAAAGGATGAGAATTAAACGGGACATTTAGGGTCCAGCTCTCCGGGGTACATTATTTTTTCAAACTAACCTGGGTTTTTGGGTAACACACACACTGGATCTGAAAATGCCACTTTTTGTCACGATTTGCTATGTGATATCCTAGTGACCTCTAAGGCCAATTCCAGGACATCGCAGGGACAACACACCAGTGTCCCCAAGCCTGCATTTGGGGCACTATTTGGCTGAGTCACTTGCAGTATTATTCTGGAGCTGCCTCTCAGGAGCTCATAAGACCCAACTATTTTATTTCCAGGAATTTGGGTTGCTGGTTAACACCTCACTGATAGCTTGAAATCAGCAATAGTGGGAGTTTTCACACCACAGGAGTTGACAAACACTATAAAGACATTTCTTCCCTTGAAACTCAGCTGTTCAACATTCACTGGAATCATGTTAACTATGAAATAATACTGATCCATCTCTCCAATTGAGAAGGAAAGCTGGTAAACGCAAATAAAAAGGGCCAGCCAGATGTCCAAGGCCAGATAGTCCCCCTGCATGCTTTTGGCTTCTGCAATCTTGCTTTCCTCTTACATCAGCCAGAAGCCAGGAATCTGAAGCTTGAGTATACTAGTCCCGCCCAACCCGGAAGCACATATGTATAAAAGATCAGTATAACCCAAGCCAGATGCTCAGCCTTTGGAGTTGACTCCGCTGGGCCGGCACCAGTGACAAATAAAAAGTCTTTTCTGATTCCCTAGCGCTTGTCGCTTGTCTCTTCCTGGGCGCCGAGTATTTGCTATAACACAGGGGCTGAAATTGATGGGTAGAAACTTGTTCTTTCTTCAATCCCTGCAAACTCAAAGAAGAGAACCAGCCTTCCTAAGTACATTATTGAAAAAAGTCCCCTAAATTCAAATACTCAGTTAAAAAAATTAGAGCAGAATTAGAGTCTACAGCCTGAGAAAATGGTTTGTTTTGATTTCGAGTTGGCTCAAGAAGTTTCTGACAATTAATTTCCTATAATTGCCTTATAAAGTTAAAATGCCTTCCAAACTTTTATGGGGCCATTTCAAAACCTAGGGAAATCGGCCAGTAAATTAAAGTGTATCTCTGCAAGGAGAGAAAGAGATTGATCTCAAGACTAGTTTAGGCCCAGCTGGAGGACTTGGTCTCTGTTCCAGTGGAAAGGAAGGTAGCAATCCTTAGCAAAGCCCAAGATTTCTTTTTCCTGAAATAATGACTGACCACTGCCTCTGTTGTTTTTGGCCAAGTGTTTGACCAAAACAAGAATTTTGCAACTGCAATGACCTAACTTGGGAAACAATTTTATAACATTTTCTAGGAACCACAAAACCTTTGTTTTACTCTTTCTGAAGACCGACAGTGGGACCAGAAGGAGAGCATAATATTTTGCCGTGTAACAAAGAAAAAAAACTTGATAAGGACAGCGGCTGGAAGACTATTTCAGTTCAAATAACGGTCATCCAGAGCCCGTGAAATGCTGCCTTTCAAACCAATAATGAACGTGCCTTGCACAACATCACATCCAGCTAAAATCCTGGATCCGCTCAGCTGATTATTAGGGCATTAAATGGTGACCTTTATCATACAATAAATTGTAAGCCGGGCAGCTAGGTCTGACAAAAACAGCAGGAACTGCAGTTAGCAGCAAAAACAGACTCACATGTTAGAAGAGCCAGGAGAAAACTTCTTGACGTGGTTGGAAGAAAACAGAAGCTTCTTGCAGTGACTCGGACTTCAGTTGGATGAGTGCAGATGATCCAAGTTAGGCAACATTATGATTGCTGGGGGCTGCAAAAAAAATCAGTCAGCTCAACTATCGGCAAAATGCCCTCCCAAGGCCTATTAAATAATGTACCAGTGAAGTTATTTGAAGTAAACTGATACACTGTGCCATAGGATGTATGGACTAAAATCATGGACACTTGAGTTCAATGGTCTAGGTTTAAATTCTCTGCAACCCATGGGGTGCCTGAGTGGTTTAGTTGGTTAAGCGTCTGACTCCTGATTTTGGCTCAGGTCGTGATCTCAGGGTTTCTTAAGTTTGAGCCCCATGTCGCACTCTGCACTAAGAGTGCAGAGCCTGCTTGGGATTCTCTCTCTCTGCCTCTCCCTTACTTGCGCTCTCTCTCTCTTTCAAAAATAAATAATAAACTTTAATAATTCTTTATGACCCATTAGCTACATGGTCTCAGAAAAGAGACTTAATCTCTCTAAGCCTCACATGCCCCATCTAGAAACTGGGGGTGATAGTAGTTCCCAAAAGATGTTGTGAGGGCTACATAATGTGTTCAGAATGATGGGTGGCACATAGTAAGTGCTTAATAGACATTAGCGATTATTATTATTATTTTTTTTTTGCATATAGGCTGATGGACTTTAAGCATTTGTCTTAGTTTGGAATCCCCCAGAAACAGCCTCTGAGCACAAGTGGTGTATTTGGGAGATGATCATGTCATAGGAAGGGAAGGTGGCCAGTCACGGGGGTGTCATCACCACTACCTCTGTGGGCAGCAGGAGCTCCCTGTATCTGGAACCTCTAGGAGACAGAACAGGACACCCCACAGAACTATCCCACCCAAGCAGGGAGGAAGCTGGGTACTTATCCACAGCTCCCTGTCCATCTTTGGTTGGGAACTGCTCCCAAGGGCATTCACCCTCTAGGACACGGGACAGAAAATGGCAGGAAGTTCAGAGTTTGCAGCCTTCAGCGTGAGAGAGTGGAAGGGGACACAGGAGGGGAACTGGAAGCAGCTACTAGAGCCCTGCATCATTGTTTTCAGATCATTAAATGAGCTGGAGTTCCTTTATTTATTTTTTAATGTTTATTTCTTTTGAGAGAGAGAAAGAATGAGCAAGAGAAGGGGCAAAGAGAGAGAGGAGAGAGAGGATCCCAAGCAAGCTCTATGCTGTCAGCACAGAGCCCAATGCAGGGCTTGATCTCATGAGCTTAGGATCATGACCTGAGCTGAAATCAAGAGTTGGGATGTTTTGGTTTTTTTTTAATCTTTATTTATTTGGGGGGGGGGGGAGAGAATGAGACAGAGCATGATCAGGGGAGGGGCAGAGAGAGAGGGAGACACAGAATCCAAAGCAGGCTCCAGGCTCTGAGCTGTTAAGCACAGAGCCTGACATGGGGCTCGAACTCACGAACGGCGAGATCATGACCTGAGTTAAAATCTGACGCTCAACTGACTGAGCCACCGAGACACCTCTGAAGTTTATATATTTGTTTTAATGGGTCAACCCTTAAGTGACAATAATACAACAGAGCAAAACAAAAAACTGTGTTCATTCTATGCTGGTTTTAATGGAGGTATTAAGAAATAAATCATGTAACTTAAAAACATTTGTATGTAAGTGCCCATTAAATCAACACAATGTTGAGAATAATAGATGGAGTTTCAACCCTAATTCTGCTCTGAACGGCTTACTCTTCCTCAATATCCATCACCCAAAGCTAGGGAGGTATCCAGTGTTTTTCACAGTTCTGTGGAAGACCCAAGCCTTCATGGAAAAGGAAAACATCCCTCTTTTTTCAAAAGTCACCAAACTCTTAGCAGTTCCAATAACTGGCTTTTTCAGTAAATGAAACCATTTGCGTTTTTAGGAAAAATAATATATTAAGACTTTCCCATGCATCCAGAGGTTTGACACTAAAACGGTAATGAACACCATAAACTCCATTCCTAAACTGTACAATGTATCTGTTGGATAACCTGATTGTGTCTTCTTCATGTGAAAGCAGAAAGCCTGTATATGAAGCCAATGTTTCTTTTTTTTAAGATTTTTTTAATGTTTATTTGTTTGTGAGACAGAGAAAGACAGAGTTTGAAGGGGGGAGGGTCAGAGAGAGGGAGACACAGAATCTGAAACAGGCTCTGGGCTCTGAGTTATGAGCACAGAGCCCAACATGGGGCTCGAACTCACAGACCGTGAGATCATGACCTGAGCTGAAGTCAGACGCTCAACCGACTGAGCCACCCAGGCGCCCCTTGAAGCTCCCTTTCTTACGCCCGTTATTGCACTTGCTTCTGGGTTTTCAGTTTCTTAGCCTCTTGAAGGGATCCTCTTGAGCTTCACATCGTTGAACTACTGGAGTTCCTGCGGGTTCTGTCCCCAGCCCTCTTCTCTTTCTACCCTCAGAAAACATCTCAATTTTTCTGAGTAGGTATCAGCTAGGGTTGCATGCAGGTGCACACAGCAGGTAGCCAACAATAGTTTAACCAAATAAGATCTGCTTTTTGTCTTCAGGCACAGAGTCTAGAGTTAGGCAGTTCAGGGCTGGTATCTTGGACCACTCTTCACTCTGCTGTCCTCAGTGTGTGGCTTGGTGTCTGTGCTCACAAGATGGCTGCTGCCCTGTAGGCATGGTGTCTACACCTGCCATGTCTTCCCACCAACTCTTTGGAACTTAACTCATTTACTTATTCAACAAATATTTATTCACAACTCACTATGTGTTAACACTCTTCTAGGCACTAGGAATACAGAAGTGAAAAAAATGGTTTAAAATCCCTGTTCTCGTGGACCTTATATTTAAATGGGGGGGGGGGGAAGGAATAGAAAGTAGATAAGAAAAACAAGTGAAAAATGTGGGAGGTTTGATGATGAATGTTATGGAGAAACATAAAGCAGAGAAAGGAACTGGAAGGTTAGCTGTGTGTGGTAATTTTAGGCAGGGTAATCAGGGAAAGCCTCACTGAGGAGGTGACATCTGAGCACAGACCTGAGAGAAGTGATAAAGCAAGCCATTTGGTTGCCTTCCAAGCATAGGGAAGCAAGCTGATGATGAAGAGTACTATTAACATTTTTTTTTTAAATCATAGGAATACGAAAACTATGTCTGTGTTAGTCCATCAATGGTGTATGTGCATATGTGCAAATGTGTGGTATGGAGTATGTACAACACAAACTCTGGAGGACACATTCCACACCAACGACAGGGCTTAATTTTGGTGAGGGGCCAAGAAATGCAGGGCAGTAAAGGTGAAGTTTTCTATGTGGCCTTTTTCCTTTTTTAAAAAAAATAAGGAGAAGGTATTCTTAGACAATTTGTATAATTAAAATTTTTAATTCTTTTTTTAGAAGTTTTTTTAATGTTTATTTTTGAGAGAGAGAGAGAGACAGAGTGTGAGCAGGGGAGCGGCAGAGAGAGAGAGAGAAAGAGAGGGAGGGAGACACAGAATCTGAAGCAGACTCCAGGCTCTGAGCTGTCGGCACAGAGCCCGACGTGAAGCTCAAACCCACATACCGTGAGATCATGACCTGAGTCGAAGTAGGACACTTAACCGAGCCACCCAGGCGCCCTTTTAATTCTTTTTAATTATTGGACAAAAAGGTGTTGGAACGATGACCTTGGAACCCTTATTTTCTTTCTCTTTTCAGGGTTGTTTTTTCTTTTCCTAACAAACTTGCATTTTTTTTAATAACTAGGAAAAAAATGCAACAAAGCAATTTCCATTCTGTAATTATTTCTACTGCTCTTTGGCTTAACCACCAGAATGACCCAGGGCCCATCTCTGTCCTGGCTCAGGGCCCAGGGGGCACCCTCTCTCTCGGCGCAGCAAGCAAGGTGATCTTGCCGAGCCCTCCCCACAACTGCTGCCTCTGTGGTTGCCAGCATCACCTTGACTACCTGCAGAGACACTCCTGCCACGGCCTCTCCAGTGGGGAAAGCTCCCTTCCCATCAGGTTGCAAGGCTTATTAATATAAGATGAGCAGAGAAGCAAAGGGAGGAAAAATACATAGGGCCATGGCTTTCCAGAGGGGAAGTCCTGTTTCCTCAGTATCGACACCAGGCCCCATGGTGCATCTCCCTGATTAATCTGGCTCTCGCAGTTTCTCTCTCTGGAGAAACTTGAGATAAGTTTCTCAGCGGCTGGGGCAAAGGGCAGTCGGATGCAGTGTCTTGTTGCATACCCCTTCCCATTGCACTCGGGTTCCAGATCACGCTGGCCACCTTGTTACTCTCCTACCTCATGGTGGTTTCTACAAGAGCCTATGGAATGGCCTTCAGCGGTTTCTCTGCCGTCCAATGTCCTCTGCAATGTGCTCTAGAGTCTTGGCTCTGGGTGTCCACGGCTATCCCAACATGGTCTCCTCTTCCCCAAGGGAGGTATGAATGCCTGTGACTGGTTTTAGGAGAGTTATCAGCATGGCCTGGCAGATTTACTAAAAACACCTTTTCATATTTGGTTCTTCCTCCTCCCAGGGCCCTGGCTTGGGACCCAATCTCTTTGGCTGCTCTATTTGAAGCATGGAATTATGGCCTAAGTCTTTTCTCACTTTATTTATTAATCCTCCTCACCATGTATTTATCGTGACTCCAGTCTTCTATAAAGTGTATGTGTGTGTGTGTGTGTGAGTGTGTGTGTGTGTGTGTGTGTGTGTGTGTGTGTGTGTGTGTGTGTTGGGATAGCCGATTCTAAAGAACATTACAAGTAGGGGTGCCTGGGTGGCTTGGTTGGTTGGTTAAGCATCTGACTTTGGTTTCTGTTCAGGTCATGTTCTCATGGTGGTGAGATGGGGCCCTAAGTGGGGCTCTGAGCTGGGCACGGAGCCTGCTTTTCTCTCTCCTCCTTCCTCTGCCTCTTTTCCTTGCTCTCTCAAATAAATAAATAAACTTAAAAAGAAAAATGGGGCACCTGGGTGGCTCAGTTTAAGTGTCCGACTTTGGCTCAGGTCATGATCTTGCAGTTTGTGAGTTTGAACCCCGCGTTGGACTCTGTGCTGACAGCTCAGAGCTTGGAGCCTGCTTCAGATTCTGTGTCTCCTCCTGTCTCTGCCC